GTGTGTGTGTGTGTGTGTGTGTGTGTGTGTGTGTGTGTGCACCAGTGAGAGATGGTTGTTTCTCCTTTTTAAGACATTTCGGACTGGAAGCAGGTTGAAAGAAAGTGGAGGTTAGTATAAGGTTATTTACACGCGGATGTGCTTTTCCATGAAGTCACAAATCAAGGCGGGGCAAACGGTAAAGGTCACCGAAGAGAGATGATGTTTAACTCTGGAGCAGCAGAGCAGATAAACGCTAAAACCAGGGGATGGAAATGTCAGGTTTTCCATGATGAAAGAGCCTCTTCCTTGAAGTAAATTTGCAGCGGATGACAAGCTCTTTGGAAAATTGACTTGTGTAGAATATTAACTCGTAAGGAGAGGAACATTTCTGCTCATTACGTGCAGCTGCACTGTGTGGTCAAACCGACGTGTTTGAGCTGGTATTTAAATGGGACCCAAACTTGAGGGGGGGAAGGGAAAGGGCTTCAATTTTGCAATTAAACAAAACGACCTATACATACAATCATCAAGAGCTTTCATTAGTAACGGCAGGGGGACGGCCTTTGTTTAGGCATGCCATGAGTGAGTGAGCTCGTCTGAACACATGGCCAGCAGCTGTGTGTCTGCGTGCCAAAGCCTCTATCGCACAAATCTGGACTTAATTTTCACACAAGCAAGTTATAAGCTTTTCCATTTTTGGATATCGCCCGAGCTGAATCGATGTGTGAGTTTTCTGCGCTGTCCCGAGACCTGCCGGTGTATTTGTGCAAGCGATTTGTCATTTGGCATAGTTTTAGAGGAGGGGCTGGGGGAAGGCACGAGGAGCACAAAAGTGACCTAGTACCCTTCAATCGCACGTTCCACAGACATCTGAGCGCAGGGTACGAGCCAGTAGAGGCGACTTAATGTGAAACACAGATCACATCTGTGTGGCAGCACGAGATTCAACAGGAGATACAGAGGATGCTCTCGTCTTATCTATGAGCATGCCAGACCAAAACTGCCAATGCAGTATTGTGAAATGTTCTAAAGCATGCCTCATTTCTTTACATTTTGCTAGGAAAATGGAAAATAGATGCAGCAGGTTACTGAAACATATATGGAAATACAGTATTATATGGCAAAAACAGTTCTAATGAGGTGGGAAGTCAATATTTAGTAAGTCCCCCATTCATTCACACAGCCTGAACTCTCTTAGACAGATCGTCTAATAGTTCTCTTTTTTGGATGTTTCTACCTTTTGTTCTGTTCTCTGTCAAAATGATCCCACGCTGCTTCAAAAATGCTGAAGTCCAGGCTCTGCGGTGGACAATCCTTGACTGAAGCTGTTTCATTGTGTTTTTTTCTTTCCACCTACACCTTTACTGCACCGACAGTGTGTTTGGGATCACTGACATGCTGAAATATAAAGCTGTTGCCAATCAACACTTTGCAGATGATACTGTATAGTAAATCAAAATCTTATGAGACTTTTCTGCATTTATAATTCCATCAATTTTCACAATATCCTCAAAATAATTCAAATTTGGATTCATCACTCTATAAGACTCGTCGCCATTGATTTTCAGTCCAATTCTTGTGCAATTTGGTATACCTCAGGCTTTTCTCCCTCTTTATCATCATTAATAATGGCTTCTTGAGAGCACACCCTTTCACCGAGCCCGTTGAAGTTTCAGTGAAGAGTAAATGAATCAACTGAAGGTCCAGACGCATGCTGTGTCAGGTCTTTGATGCTGATTAACCGCTATTTTTAAAGCTAAAAATTTAAGTTTCTGTTATGCGTGGACACAAAATAGCTGATTTGTCCCTTGAATTGTTAAATTGTGCCTTTTCTATACTTGAATGATTCATAGGTCAGCGCTAAGTGGTTTTAAAAAAAAAAAATCATATGAACTAATAAAGAACTGAGGACTTGCTCAAGACATTTGCACATCACTGTAGTTTTGAGAGTCTGTTTCTTTATCTAAGGGATAGTTTATCCTTTGCTAATATGACAGGTTAAATGACAGGGCACACAGTAAGCATGAGTCAGATAAAGGGGAAAACAAACTGTTAAAAGAGGCCTTACAAAGTGCGGAAGAAAAAATACAGAAACAGAAGATGTAATGCAAAGAAATAGATATTTGTATATATGTATATACTCACAATCACAGTGTAAGTTTGGCAAACTGATGTTTAAACTCACTTCTATCTTCCCACCACTGTCTTTATCGGGATCATCCACATACAGTTCATTTACACTGCAATGGATGGAGAAAAGAAAAAAAAAGGTTAGAAATGGTTAGAACAGAAAATCAACTTTTAATTTAAAGAAATGTGGTATTTTCATTAGAAAAAGACACTTTTCTCCCTCGACGTCATGCTATTGTGCGCCACTTTAATGGTAGGGGACTCATCTTCTGCCAAATTGCAAGGAGAGAGCATTTGTGTATCTCTGCCGGTGTAATTTCCTTTCTGTCACACCCTTACCAAGTCATCGCTTATTACACATTGCCAAGAGGCTGACGCATGCACAAAGCCAATTTCCTGTCACAAATTTGACTCCATTCATTGGTTACAACACTGGCTGGGCAGAATACATCATAATGAGGGCATTGACATTCATAATTAAGTCCCTGTTTGTGCCTGCGTGGTAACCAGGGAACTGTGCGTTTCAGCCGGAGGATATTACAGACGAGCGGCAGTACCTACATTTCAGTGGCTATGAATCCCGTCAGCTCAGACAGGAAGAGGAAGAGTATGAAGACACAGCAGAGGATGGAAACTGTGGGCAAAGAGGAAGAAAGTCAGAATGAAGACACTGTTCAAACCTAGGTCACTGGTGATGTCTCATATATCACTTCTTTCACATAGAAGTTACACAAGCTTTACACAGAATGATGCAAGTCAAATGATCTGGACTGACTGGGTCTTAAGGAACGGCTGACGTAAGCTATTGGTATTAATGAAATCACAGCAGCTAAAAAAAATAAATCCCTAAATAGCAGTTTTACTGACAGTGTTAGCCCTCCCATTATGTTGTTTTTTCTTTCTTTTAAAGAACCTCCTACAGTAATTACACATTAAATACCAGCACAGCAGGCGGCCATTACAGCATTTCTTCTTTGAGAGAGGTGATCTCATGCTACGCCTTAGTAAGCCCTACAAACAACATTTTAGGCTTCCTTAAACTCACACACTGACAGTCACCCAGACCAAAAATGGCTTCCACAAAAGAGGCTGAGCAGAAACCAAAGTAGGAAAAATTAACTTTAACTGTTCAGTGTCTTTGTGTCCCGACATAAAGCCTAAGCTTAAAAACACACTAAAGGAGAAGCAGCCAGGTCGTCCGCTTCCCTCCATGTGCCAAACTAATCAGCCGAAGAGTCAAATAAAAGAGTGGCCATGTGTTTACTAAGATAAATGTGGAAGGAACTGATCTGTGTCTGTGGTCTATCTGGTATGGTGAGAGCCTTGGTTAGAAAGCTCTCGCTCAGCAGGTGAGGCATGTTTACGTGGCAACCGTCTCCTAGGTTCGCACAGTCACGTGACCTTGTGGTTTAGCAGGGCGTCACAGGCGGACCTGCGGCTAGAGGAAGCTTTACATAAGGTAATATTTAACCAACAAACAAGGGAGTGTCACTGTGACACATAGATTACGAATTCAGGTTCATTAAAAAACTTGTACAGTAAGTTTTCCCTGCCTTCAAAGGATGCAATATAGGACGATGATTACTAAAGATGAGTGATTTTTAATAGTCTCACAATGGAAATACTGACACCCCGAAATGATTTACAAAGACATGACCTGACTGTCTTCTATTTACGCTCCAGCTTATCCGGACAGCTCGGACATTCTTTGGACTGTGACACAAAGGAATCGGCTACAATAACACCATGAATCAGTCACTGACATTTGAAACTAGCCCTATTTATGCAATCAGATGTGGCTTTTTTGTTACATCTTTGTTCCTTCTAAGGCTCATTTTCCCCACATAGCACAGGCAAATTTTATTTTTTTATTTTATTTTTTTCCACATCAGCCCGGGCAAAAAACCCCACACAAATACTAAGAGAGAAAAATCTGACAAACAAGAGACTGTTACATTAAATCCAAAACCATGAGTAGTTCCAGAAACCACAGTGGCCAAACAGAGCTTTTGTTTAGGGTAAACTGAGCCCTGCAGAATGTGCCCTGGGGCAACAAAAGCAGATGAGGGTCAAATATTTGGCCTTTTGTGAAAAGGCAGGCTCTGATTCTTTTTTGCCACCGTGGCCTGAATGTTATTCGGCCTGCTGTGGATGAAGCATTAACAGGTTTCTAATATCCCAATCTAACCAGTGGCGTCATCCCTAGACAGCGGATGGAGACAGGAAGGGAGTTAACTGAGTGCAGGAAAAACTTATATCCATTTCCTCTTGGGTGGAAACGTTAGTGTATAACTTTAGTAACTTCTTTCTGCTGTCCATACAGAAAATTATTTTTCTCTGCCTTAAAAGGGTCCAATACTGAAATAACACTTTTAGTTTATCCACTGTGTCATGAGTTTTGTTGACAGTTTTCCTACTATGTGTCTTTGTCAGCTGACTAATGAATACGACTGCTGCCAAAAATGTGTCATCAGAGCTCTTGTCTTCTATCAAGCAGTGAATAATCAATATAGCCCCTGATTACACAATGACTTATTGATGACAAGTAGGAAAACTCATGACCTGACAGGAAAAAGCAGTCAGATTTCCACTGAGGACTCCTGAGGTGCCAGTGACTATGAGACAGCATGATTATTAGCATTTTTGTCATAGCAGATGTGCTAAAACAGGTACTGCTCCAAGCTGTTTGCTTTTTACATAAGAGCATACCTCTGTGCTGACAAAAGGGAAGTACTTGAATCACAATTACTTGTCATCGTTTTCCTAAACATCTGCCTCCCAGAGCAGGGACTGGCATCTGATTCTATTTACTTTTTATGTTCAAGCTGAAGAAGAAGGTTACAGACTGTGAAGCCCTGCTAGGACTCAAATGTCATTTTGAGTTAAGAATGAGGCGGTTTAAAGACATCAGAGTAATCAAAATAAAGTACTGTGCAACAGTCTCGAGTCACCGTTAATTTCTTTGTATTTTAACTCCAAGGAGCCAGACTTTATTGTAAGAGAACAATAGTTCCTCAGGCTTTCTGAAGGTCTTTCTATGCTTTTCACTGGACATTGGCTGCACATTTGTCACATATTTTCAGTCTACTTCTCGCACCCGACCGTTTGGAGAGAGGTACAACAGCGAGTGTCTCGTTAGAATTACTGCACCCACTTTCCATGCAAAATATAAAGCAATGTGTGGTGGATTCAGAGCTTTGTACAGTGCTCTATGTTAAAAAAAAATACAAAGTCCATTATGCCTCCAAAAACAAACTTTGGATTAAAGTGTGTGTGTGTTTTAACTAGCTGGTGTATTGTATGCCAGAGCTAGAATGTAATTAGCATAAAGATGGGCTAGCTATAGATGAAAGTTTTTTGTTTTTGTTTTTCTGGTTGATTCAGTCTGGTTGATTAATGACAAGCAAATGTTCCTGTTAATATACTTCAATTAACTATTGCTAAAAAAGTGAATCACTAAACAGGTGAACAAGCCAAGAGGATAAATGATGCTAGGTTAGCCCTGCTTACACAGCTTAGCTTAAAAAAATAGTTTTTAGCAGCTCTGATATTCAACAATTAGTATGTTTCTACTTTTTTTTTTTATGTAAAGTTGAGCAAGTTCTTTTTATTATAGTGAACAAAAATAGTATGTTGTAGTTCTACTTTGTTGCATACCTTTATTTCATTTGAGATGTCTATAATTGTGAGTCAACTATAATCAAAAAGTGCTGTGTTCATTTTGCAACACCCATTCTGAACTACTAAAATATTAATACTAAAGTTACTAAAAGCTACACTGAAATTAAACACTGACATTTACACTAAAGTGAACTGATTGACTCTACTATGGAAATAAGCTGAGGCCTTTAGACTACGTCCACACGAGCCCGGATAGATTTGAAAATGGCGTTTTCTACTGAAAACACTCCGCGTCCACACTAGCATTTTCAGTCATTTTCACAGAGTTGTGCGTCCACTTTGAAACGGCCGAAAACGCTTACGTTCCAGTCCTGCGCATGCGTGAAGCGCCAGATGATTCGGCCTGCCTCATTTCTGTCAGCCGTTTATTTACTTGCCGGCTCTTTGAAACGTCGCAGCAAAAGGTTGAGGAAAATTTTTTAAATGGACTGACAATGAGGTGAAGTTGCTGCTGCGAGTAACACAGAAGTACAAAGTAGCAAGAGCGAGTGAGAATTAAATAATTTGAAGAAAAGCTAATAGTTTTGCAATCTTCATTCGTTTTTATTTTTATTTAGTTTTGACTTCAGATTTTCAATTTTATATCTGTTTTAATTAGTTTTTACCATTTGTTTGCTAGTTTAGTTTTTATTTTTATCTTCTGCTTATCCTTGGGTATGTTGCTATTCCAGCTACCATACCCTGCACACTGGAAAGGTCGCCAGTCTGTCACAGGGCTAACACGCAGTGACAGACAACTCGCATTCCCACCTATAGGGAACCTATGGGTTATTAAAAAATAAATAAAATTAGGGCAGATGAACAACCATTGATACCAGGCAACTATAAAAGATATATCTTGGCCCCAATGAGACTATTAACTCTTGCAGCACTGGGTCTTCGTAATTTTGGTTCAAGTGATTTGCTAAACTTTTGGAAGGCAACTGACTCACACAGTTGTGTAGATATCCCAGGCTCAATAAACATATTCACCAACGCTTCCTCTCGCTTGTGATGTTCCTGCGAATTGACCAACTAGCAGCCATTGGGTCGCTGTTGGAAGCACTGCATTAATGTTTTTTGTGGAGTTCACTTGGGATGCATCACGCTGCCTTGCCTGGGGCAAGCTTCTGTTTCTGGGGATGAGGATTGGGCGTGCTCCCTTACCTTCTCAAGGTAAGCCTGGTTAGCCTTCTTGTGCGAGGTTTTCAAGTGCACTTTAAGGTTTGTGGGATTTTTTTTTCCCCTTTAGAAATGCACCGCATAATTTGTCTCATTCCAGTACAAGACACTTGCTTTTATCTAAAACACAATCATATTCAAAGTAATCTGAAATTGGACTGTAGCGATTTCTCCCGACTTTTGCTGACACGATTCTGCGTGGGACAGAGCAGCAACACAGACGACTCGACTAACGTACTTGCCACCTGCTGGCATAATGAGACACAGCAAGAAAAAAAACCTGGAAACTAAACTTCATTTTCACCCTAGACTATTGTATGACACACACACATCAATGAAAACTAAACACATTTTTGCTATAAATTCAGTTAATTTTAGTTAGTTTTGTGAACACTCATTACAGTTTTAGTTCGTTTTCCTTTTTTTGCAAAGTCTTGTTTTTATTTTTATTTCCGTTAACGAAAATATTTTTTCACTTCTAGTTTTTGTTATTTCGTTAGTTTTCGTTAACGATAATAACCTTGGTACAAACTGATATTAATCTTTAATAGGGCTGTGAAAATTGAGAGCAAACAAAACAACTGCTGTATAATGCCCTCTGCTATCTTTGTTTAATTGGTCACATGACTGCAATCACATGACTGAAATGCATCATCATTTTTAGAAAGTCTACGTTTTCACTGTTCACACTGCGACGCAAACGCACCGTCTTCAAATCTATTCGTTTTCGAGAGCGCTTTCAAAACGCCGTCTCAGTGTGGATGGGAGGCCAAAACGGAGAGAAAACGAAAACGCATTAGTGTAGACGTAGCCTTAATCAGCACAAAGATAGCCCATACACACAAATCTAAGCACCTATGGCACAAACATTAACACATGCCATCTTATTTGTTCAAAATATGGTTTCTCGCCTTTACACTTAGAGTGAGAATTAACACAAACCAAAGTCCAGCAGAGGCAGATTTTGCTACCAGCAGCCAGAGCAGTCAGAACGAGTGTTTTGGCTGATGTCAAACTACTGCAAGCAGCTGTACAGTCACGAAGGATGACCTTTTCAGTTAACTTTCACTGGAAAAAGTGATTACGTCTCACATCTTATTTTGCCACATTTTGCATCTTCCATTTATAGAAGCAAGATTCAGGAATTCCTTTCACATATGTGGAACAAAATCCCCCCCCAAAAAATTACAAAAAAATGAAAACCTTAAAGTAGATGCTCATAACTTTGGCCTGTGAGTGAAGGACTACTCACTGAAAGCTCCTGTGTATGTTGGCTGGGTGAGATCCTTTGGCACTTTCCTGTAGATATCAAATCTGAGGAGAGACAAAAAGAAATATATAGCAAATGTAAATATTATGTGCTGAAAAATGTTGCACATTCTGTACCCATCATGCCTTGCGATATTACAGAAGCGCGGTGGAATGTTAGCTTTGGACGTCCGCCATTATATATAACAGATCCAGACGGCCAACCGCAACACATACAAACACACACACGCACTTTTACAGGGTTACAACCTCTTCCTTTGAATGTCTGCTCTGTAATTATGAACTGACCCCAACAAAGGTCTAACACTCCACACATACACAAAGCAAACAAAAACACACACAGAAACATAAACACAAGTTCACCGACAACTTTAAATCATATGGTTTCATCTTCTTGGCAGTAAGTGGATACAAGAACTGCTGATTTACTCTCGGTAAAATCCTCAGTTTAACATTTTTGGATATTTCTAAAAATACCTTTCTTAAACTGCTCGTAAATCAGCGTTTAAGAGATGGGAAGATCATTTCCACCTGACACAATCGACTCTGCTTGTGAAATACTGTTCTTGCCAATTTTGGGAGCTAGAAAAAGGAAGGAGAAAAAAATCTGCTACTAAACACCAAAACTATTTCGGTTCAGGACTTCTTGCGCTTGTCCTTTTTGGGCAGTGAAAAATCTTTTGGCTGACTGTGCAAACTCCTCCCACACCCCGATCTCCCCACTCAACTCTCCTTAGCAGTCTCCTACCAAAACAATCACATCTGTCTACATTTCTTCCACTTAGAGCGTCCAGAAAAATAATCACAGCTAATGCAACGCAGGGCCGGGGAGGAAGTATGAGGGTGGGCTTCCTGTAATCCACCTCTGTTTCTTCTCTCGATGTTGCATAACCTCCTGCTTTAACGCCTTTGTTTTAATGTGAAGCACTCCTAGATCCCAAAACTCTCATTCAGCATTCCTCTATGTGTATATCATCACAGTATACATCCATACTAATGTAGATAGATAATGTGCACTGCCTTTCCTCACATAAAACAACCTGACAGGTGGAGCAAAATGATATACATCCCCACCATGTGAAGGCCTTGTAAGTCAAGTTCTAGTCTTTTCCACGTCTTTGGAGTTTATTCAAGTATTACTTACGCATTCTGCGGTGTAGATGGTATGAGTAGACTAAGGCTGAAGGCAGATTGTGGTCATACTGGTATTATTTGGAACAGAGATGTTCGAGATATGTATTCAGCCACTGATAAGAACGTAAAACAACTGAGCTCATTTTATGAATATGCGAGTTGTGCAGTTTGTCAAGTTCAGCATTATGGCAGGAAAGGATCATTTTACATAAAGGAAGTGCATCTGGAATATATTTGGATTATTCTTGGTTATACAAATACAGGGGTTTTTTTCAGCTTAATTAGAGAAACAGTTCAGCTACATGCACATGTATTTTAGAAAATTGACCTTTTTCTGTGCATTTTTGCCTTCTGTACACATGTAGACTGAGCTTTTAAAATACTCCTTGTTGTCTTTCAGTGTCAAATGTGTGAGCCTTTACCGTCTTTTTTTTTTTTAAGTCAGGCTTCTGATTGGCTAGCATTTCCATACAACTAGTGTTTTATCACTACGTGTGTGCTCCTGACAATGCATGACATTAGTTCTTGTATTTTCATAAGGCCTGAGATAGTTTCCATAGCATTGCTTACGTGGACAGGATTTTTTTTTTCTTTAAACAAAAGCTATAAATTCCCCTTATAAAAACTACATGTGTATCTGTGGATCTATACATATACATAGATACACACATAGAGACAGACAGACATATACATATATACATACACACATACATACACACACACACATATATCTTTGTTTTTAACAGTTGAAGGTGTTGGAAAAAAAAAGAAAAAAGAACAATATGACATCACTATCACTGACTCCACATACAATATTGGCTCAAGTATTTCGAATTACACATCATCTGATTTTAAAAGGTGACCCATGTAACCACACTATTCACTAGTTAAAAGCAATAAGCTGCATGCAGACACGCTTCCTCGCTCACATACGTCATTTTGCTTTGACATTAAAGTAAAAACATACTGTGATCATGTCATCCTACTGGAATAACACCGCTGTTTCACAAACAGTGTCCTGCACTTCAAACCAGGGGTAGGTAAATAAAGGTCTGATTTAAGATTATACCACAAAAGGACAATAATAGACAAGGCCACAACACACAACTTTCACTTGACAGTAACCAAAATGAGTTGTGTTTACTGCCTCACAGCTAAACTATTTCTTTTTTTTTTTTAAAGAGACTTATTGTAAAATTTTTAAGCAGTCCTACAATGTGTTCACTCTGAGGTGACAAAGGTTAATGAATTCATTAGTAAAATTAATATGTTCATTACACTAAACAACAGTTTAGGAGAAACTTCAGACACTAGTAAAGCTTCAACAAGTATTAAACAGTTAGCATAAATGTTAACCTGGTTGTCACACATGTTAACTTAAGCAGTTTAATGATTTGTAATTAGCTACACTAGCCGTCTGTTATCATCATCGTAGTGGCTAGCAGAAGTAATTACTGCCGGCTGACTGGATGGAATATTGAGTAGTGACAGAGCAGGTTGTGGACACATGGAAACAGGTGGGTCACCTGCTGTGCAGAGCAGCGGGGGAACCGTAGCTGAACTGAGTAGAGAGTCCAGAGTGTGGAGAACTAATCCGAGAACATAAAGAGTGGAATCCAGAGCAGAGCAGAGCTGCAGGCTTTTCGACTTTTAAAGTAACTGGTTAAAAAGTTTCTTATTTCCTTGATCGCAGCTTCAAAATGTAGTCAGTAACTTTATTATAATAAAGTACAATTTACAAAGTTAAACCTTTTAAAGTCAGCAATTTAAAAAAATATTTAAAAGATCCAGGAGTTATTTAAATTAAAGAAAATATACTTTAAAGAAAAACATGACTATACACTTACTGAAGTGTAAAAAAAAAAAAAAAGACTGACATAAACTTTCAGTATATGTATTTTTAACCTGTGCGACACTGTGGTTTTATCAAACTATCTCTACTCAGAACACTTCATGAATATTTATGATGAGGTTCAAGGGTTCACATCTCAGTGTACCACTTACATTCGTAATTTCCTGAATTACAGTCAACACATCTCCTTCCGTCACATCTCACTGCTCAGATGTTATGTGATTAGGGAGGACATGATGTACCAGCATCTAGCTGTTAACACCATGACACGAAAACACAAGCCTACTTTTCAAGGGTCTTAAATAAATAAGCCGAATCTCGGCAATGACTCACGGTGAGTCAGTAGTTTGTTCCATGTATAGCCGAGTAAACCCACATTACAGACGATCAAGGTTCTTCTTTTCACACCTTACACCACAGAATATAAGCAATACTTCTCTCTTTACGTAGGTAACCCAACTGCTGTTACGATAAAGTCATTACTGCAATTATTGAAAAAACAGGGAGAATCCATATTAAGCCTCTAAAGTGACCATGTAATAAACACAGCAGATCATCGGGTTGGCTAACACAAAATGTCCTTGTGCCAATAAATGACATAATCTAAAGGACATTAAACTTGGGCATAAAAGCCTTTCGGTGATTCACTCGTTCCTTCAGTGACGCTGTTCGGTCATCCTGAATGAGATGATCCTCATTGTTGGAAGTTGGCATTTGTGGAAGAACTTTATTACTGTTGAAATGTCAATCTACAGCAGCTGAGAAAGATACGCATTTCTAGAAAAGACCAAACCTAGAAATTTACTACCACATATTAGAAGGGGAACACAAGACCGTATATGTGTACACCATCCTGCTGCTGGGGAAAAAAAATAATAAAAAAACCTAGAACACCAACTGTACATTAATCCAGAGCTTAAAATAGTCCCTAACAAATACACAAGTAACTCTTTGAGGAAAGCTGTGTGTCTTTTTTTTTTTAAAGAAATGAAAATGTGTACATGCAATTAGGTTTTAAATTTTAAATTAGCACCTTATTATTTTTGCTCATCAGATTTATGAACATAAAGACAGAAAAACACCAGCTTCGCACTTTAGCTTATTTGTTGTGCGCTTTGAAATGAATAACATGCACATTCTGGGAATACATCCTACTTTTGTGGATAGTGCAATCTATGGTAGCCAAAAAGTGTTACACACCCTCACGCTGGTGACTAACCCTGCAGTATTTTTGAAAGGACAACACCTCGAAACAGTTACTCAAGCCTTTTCTAGCTGTTGCAATGCGGGTTTTGTATGATCGAGGCATCAAGCAAAGCATCCAACGATGAGAATCTGACCTCTTGTGACACACAGTTCATCCAGAGTGTTTTTTCTTCTGTAGTAAAATCATTCTGTCAGCACAACACAGCTGTAATCTTTGGAAAAAGATGACAGACACTGATTTCCAGTTTGACCGTGCTGTTGATCATTTTCATCAATCTGTCCGATTTTTCTGCGTTAACATTCAGCACAGCTATACAGCTATCTGAAAACTGTGATTACTTCACATTAAATAGAGCTGGAGGATTATCTGAAACATTGTCACATATGAGCCTTGTTGGTTCCTATTGACCTATCAGCAAATGACATCACATTTACTAATGGAAGCTGTGGCTCAGGACCTGGGATGGGCAATTGATTTTTCCTAGGGTCCATGTGAGAAACTGTAACTGTTGCGCTAGTAAGCCAAACTCAATTCTGCTCAACATGAACTTTCTCTCTTTATAAACTGCTACCAGTAAGAATTAATGTTACAATTAGGCCCTAAATGTGACTCCCTGGTAAGATTAACTGCACAAGCTCTGCACAAGAGACAGAGCGGGTCATCTGCTATTCGGAAGGTCATGGTAAAGTTGCGAAAACGTCCTTGGGCAAGGGAGTGAACCCCATACTCCTCCAGATGGCATAGAACAAAGCACTGTGTGAATGGGTGACTAAAGCTTGTAGTAAGGGACGATCGTGGCTCAAGAGACTGGTGGTGGTCAGAGTGTCTGGGAGCCTCGCCTCTGTCAGTGCGCCCCAGGGCAGCTGTGGCTACAATATAGCTTGCCATCACCAGTGTGTGAATGGGTGGATGACTGAATGTAGTGTAAAGCGCTTTGGGGTCCATAGGGACTAAGTAAAGCTATATACAAATACAGGCCATTTACCATTTACAATAAAAGGTACTTTGAGTGCTCGGTTAGAACCAGTCCATACTCAAATATTGTGCTACATTAATTGTGTGTGTCAAAGATAGTGTTTTGAAAATTTTTTTAAATTTAGATGGTAAGAAACCAACAGACAAACAACTAAAAGGCACTTGAATAAGCCCAAAATGTAACAATGCAATCCACAGGCAGGAAACATAAATATTATTAACAAGTACAAGCACTTTACAACTTAATTTGCTGTCAAAATAAAATGCATAGAAGATATTTTGTTTATGACTTTGCTAAATGTTTTTCTTCAATATAGCAGCTGCGTTGTTAAAATACTGTTAGGAAATAACTTTTGTTGGGTCTGGTGAGCAACAGGATAACTGCAAAAGTAATACATTACTTATTCAGAGCCTCTGAAGAGATACGTTTTGTATGTGTTTAATTGGTTTCCAGAACACGCTGCAGTTGAGTTTATCAGATACCATTTTAGACTCTGTATAAATGTGTGAAGTTTCATCTCTGTGAACTTAACAGTTGTGACTGTGGATATGGCAGATTTCCATTCAAAATCTAAAGGCTGGCTCAAAATGTGTTCTTACTAAATTTGTCTTGGCACTGGCAAACAGGATGAAGTGAGCATTGTGCAAATGGGCAATGCAAACATCCTGTTTTTTTATTCTAACTGGCCGTACTCTATTGATAGGTTTAACAGCCCTGTAGAGAAAGTGTGGCAAACAAGTTTAAGTTGCAGATTAATAGCTTGAATGGCTCTGCAATGGCTGTGTTCCGGTTTCACTGTTTATTGGTGGCTAATGACTGAATGTTTTGATGTTTGTGTACTGAACGTGTTACACAGTTTCTTTTGTAAACCAAACCAACCGTGCTGATTGTAATCGGGCGCACGTCTGGCAAAGCTGGTCGAGGACATTTGCACATGCGCAAAAAAAACGAACCCACACAAAAACCCGAGCATCACTGCGGCGACTTAACGAAAAACCCGTGCATAAAAAAAATGTTTCTTTTTTTTTAAAAACTGAGCTCGCTCATGTCAAACGCAACACATCATTGTGATAACTTTGGCTGCCTCAGTAGCATGTGATGCTGAGCCAACTGTTAATTCATCTAGAGCTCACAGACAGCAGACCACCACTTTCCACTTCATATCCCGCCACAAAGAACCGGAAGCCCCCCGTACTCACCTCCTAACATCGAAAGTCATGATGTTTGCACGTTGGACAGGGGCGTTAAAAAGAAGAAAACTACAAACAACAGGAGACCATACTATCTTCAACGCTACCGGTTGTTCATGGGTACCGGGCTGACGTCAGCTTAGGACGCTTTGCAGAAGCTGATTGGCTAAGATGTACTTCCTGTTCACTATGATTCTTCTTCCTCCGAGTGATGCAGCCGTATTATAATGGGCCGAAACATGAATGGGAAAACGTTTTTTAAATTAAGAAATAATTAAAAATTAACATTAAGATTAACAAAAGATGAACTTGTGCAATACGATCACATTTTTAAAAATAATTTTATTGACTGAAAACTATAGAGTGTTTTTTTTTATTTAGTAACGTGAATTTTAAGAGGAAAAGGAATTGTGAATTTTATGACAAAAATGGGCAATACAAACTGCTCAAAACTCAAATTTAATCCAGTATTATCCATGTGTTATGCTCTTACTCTTATTTTTCGCCTTCTTTTTTAATATGTGCAGCAAGAGAACAAAAATATTTTAAAAATGTTTAAAAAAAGTATGTACTACTCCAAGTCTCATTCACCTACACATTTTAAAAGTAAATATTTAGCTGACATTCACATACACCCTCACTGCAGTGATGGATGAATTGTGGGTAACTCAGGGTTCAGCATCTTGCCCAATAAAACTTTAGTTCATTCTTTGATTTTCCCAGTTGGTCTGCACTGATACTTGTGTAGCACTTTTCTGCTCATTTTCTTACAACATGCCTCAATATACAAATTCATACAAGCATTATGTCATCATGAGAACATAGCAAGCCAGGAATTAACCCACCAACCTTCTGATTAGTGGCCAACCAGCTCTACCACCTGTGCCAAATTGCCATAGAGGAAAAGGTTCTCTTCCCCTTTTTTTAAAATAATGCTAACAACTCCTTCTTACCAAGAAATGAAAATTTATAAACATAAAACTCTGCCACCTCAGTGGCTGTATCTAAGGAGGACTCTATCAGAAGGTTGGTGGATGAATCCCTACATTCTCAAAGCATCCTTATGAAAGAATCCTTGGGCAAGATCCACAACACCAAGACGCCCCCAATGCATTTGTGTGTGTGTGTGTGTGTGTGTGTGTGTGTGTGTGTGTGTGTGTGTGTGTGTGTGTGT